AGATAGGGCAGAGTGCTTGACGGCGGAACAGGTGCACTGGCGAGCTGGCGGGACTTGGGGGGTGCCCATGCCTGTGCAGCTACTGGAGCCAGGCAGACAAGTCGGGTGTAACATCCGGAGTAGGTGACATCGCCGATATCGAGGCCGTGCATCTTGCGGGCTAGAGCCTCGACTTCGTCGATTGTATTCTTGACTGGTGGAGGAGGGGACGTGAAAGCGACTCGTCTAGTCTGTACTTCCCTTCTAACATCCTTCTTTTCCTCTTCTTCGTCTGAGTCCCATTGGGCGGATGCCTTAGTCTTGGTGCGTCCCTCTCGTATCGTCCGAATTCGTGTTGCTATGGGTTCGTTAAGGTCAGCATCAAAGGCGTCGTCTGAAAAGACGAAACGTCCTGCTTTGAGTACCTCTTCAAAATCCGTGGCTTCTGTGCGTGAGTAGTTCGGGTCCTTGAGTTCGAGTCTTCTGTCGATTGCCCGTCGAGTGACAGCGGGCAGTCCTTGCCAGAAATAACGATCCCGTTCGCGCGTGGATATTTTGCCGTTAGAGACGAGCCAATGAGCAACGGGGCGGAATTGTCGATAATATTGCAAGAGTTCGGTTTCCGTGGATATATCGTTGTCTGCGTTGTTAATGACAACGCGCTCCAGGTCGCGAATCGAGTATCGCTGACCCTTGGCAGCACCTGAATACTGCGCTACAATGCTAGCCTTGAAGACGTCATAGTCGCGGCTTTCGTATCCAGTTAGTGTCACCCAAAATCTCTTGGTCTCAATGTTGACGTAGCGTACGATCATCTTGCATTTGTCCGCGTCGCTGAGTGTACACGACGAGGATAGATCCTCGAAAAGCTCGAGGAATTCGAGTAGCTCAGAGGTTTCTCCATTAAAGGAGGGGGCCTTGCTTGATCCAGGTCCTGGCATGGCGCTGATGCCTTTAGCAGCTGACATGGTGACTGCTGGTTGGGGGGGTATAGGAGGGGGTGCAGCGGAAGGTGGGGGTCTTACAGGTTGCGGGTTTGTTGGTGCGGGAGCGTGAGGAGGAGGTGCGGTTGTGCGAGGTAGAAACTGAGGTTTGGGGATAGGATGTTCGGTTGTGGTAGCAAGAGTTGATGGTTCTATAGATTCAGAGGGAATTATAGGGAGTGTAGGCGTTTCCGGGTCGAACACGGCCGGTCTAAGGGTGAATGTTGGCTGATCAGTTATAACGGGAAAGGGGGATTTCGCGCGTGGAGGGAGGTTTATGGCGTCGTCGTCTGATAGGGATGATTCTGTTGGTCCGTCTGTCGAGTCTTGGAAGGGTCTGGTGCGTTGATCTAGTCTAAAGCGAGTTGGGGTAATAGCAAACGGGTTGGAAGGGGGTAGTGCTGTGGATGTTGAAGAAGTGGTGAGGGCGTTGTAGGTATTGGCACGGCTTCGACGTTTCTTGGTCGACGTTTGCTTCGGGGGTGCCAGCGCAGATGGCTCGTTCTGCTGGAGGCGTAGCTGCGCGTTGGGATGATAGTATTTGGTTATGGTGATTGGGTATAGTGGTCAAAGACCAAGCTTCTAAGGGGCCGATCAGTAGATCGGAAATGGATCAATCGGATCAAACTTGGGTGCAAGGGGTTGCTCGAAAACAATTCCCCTCGCGGTGGGCTCCAAATATGTAACGGCTGGTCTGAGTTCGATGGGGAATTAGTTGTATCTAGGCGCTTCTCTTTGGAGGTAGAAAGTCTTGAGAATATAGAAAGTTTCTGATAGGATCGAGTCCGTTCTTGGAGCGTGAATTCAACGGATGGATTTCTGCTAAAGTACGAGCGCACATTTTGCGGTATATAAGTGTTTGGGATCCGAACGATTAAAGCGAGAGTCGAGTAGGTAGCATGTGGAACTAGAAAAAAGAGTCGGCGAGACACGGTGACGATGGAATGAGAGCGCATGGTACAGTAAGGGAGGAGAGTAAGAAGGAATGTATCCGCGTAACTCGGATGCGAAGAGTTGAGCTCTTCGCATCAGTGAGTCACGTGGATGTGTTCTACTTGTAAGAAGTTCGAACGCCTTGTTTTTGAAGATGGGACGGTGCGTAAAGGATATACTATCCTTACAGATGCCTTGGAGGGTATGATATGACAGGTGATTTTACTGGGGTGCGGCACATGACAGTGGGACGACGGCCGCGGGTTGCGTCAGACTGTAATAATTCAATTCAGCACCATGGTGAAAATGAACAGTTGGGTAGTACATACCTGAAGTAAATGTCGGAGGGTGGTATCGGTCTTCAAGGGAAGGTGAGTTCACAGAAGATAGATTCATGACGCTGGCAAGTGCTTACTTTGGGGAGGATAGACTGTATTTCCGGTATAGAAAGCAAAGAGGAATTAATAGTGTTGCAAATGTAGATATCGGGATCACCCCAGGCCGTGATGGCTAGTTGAAGTGAGTCTGGTGAGGGCATGAGGAATGTGACTTCAGGAGCGTCGAAGGAGGCGAGGAGTTGGCGGGACTCAAAGGCCCAAAGTTTGATGGTGTGGTCGCGGGAAGCACTGGCGAGGAGGGCGCCGTCAAATAAAAGTGCTAGGCCGGTGACAGTCTCCATATGCCCTTCGAAGGGAGTTCCGACAGTCTCCAGCGTCGAGGCGTCGAATTCATAGATCGTCTTGGCTTTGGGAAACATTGTTTTAATATTGTCTTCCGTGATCAAGTTGAATGCGGCCAAGATGTTGCTGTTTTTTTTTGTCCAGAAAATTGGCGCAAGCGTGACAGCTTCCGGGGAGGTGAATAAATTTAAAGCCAAGATTTCTTCGTCGTTTGCATCGGGCCAAATTTGAATTTGTTTCCCTATCCTCGCATCCAATTTCTGTTTTTGGATGTCCCAGACTTCAAGAAACTTCCCCACAATTGAGTTGATTGCGAGCTTCTTCGAATCCGTCGAGAAACGAATGGCGCCCACCCAATAACCACTCTTGAATGGACCGGCCACGAGTTTGCCGGTCTCCAAGTTCCATATCCGCGCTGTAAAATCCCTTGACCCACTCGCCAGCAGCTTGGTATCCACGGAGATATCAATGCACTCGATCCTGTCTGAGTGCCCTTTGAATGTCTTCACGATCCCCGTCTCAACCTCACAGGCCTTCAGCTCCCCGATTTCGTAACCTCCACCACCAGTGACAACCCATCGACCATCCCTTGATACCGCAACTGCCCGTATCTCCTCCTCGCAAACACCCCGCGCTTCCTCAATCTCCTTGCCCGACTGTAAGTCCCATTGCTGAGTGGTTTTATCCCGAGATCCGCTCATCATTCGCTGCCCGTCAGGAAAGTAGGCTATGGATGTAACATCCACGCCAGCCTTCGACGTCCGTGCCGATTCCAGGATCATATTGATGTCTAAACCGGACTGCTCCGTCGATGCGGAAGCCATGGTTGTGTCTCTGCGAACGAAATCACAGTCAAGTAGCCAAAATATCCTTTGTATGCGTGCGTTAGAGGAGCTGCGGTAAGCTGTCCTCATGCGCTGTGAGCCTGATGGCTGATAAGGATTTTTTATTATGACAGCGCTTACCCTGCTGAAGCTGAGGGTCAGTCAAATAGGCTAGTGAAGAGAAAGAGCGAGGAAATCTCGAATGTGAGCACAGCAGTCTTCCTTGCTTATATCCTGACGCTCTTTTGCATGGCAGTGCACATCTATTCGTAATTCAACTTTGCTTCTCCTTGCTTTTCACTCACAGCCTCACAGCTATTGCCAATGTTTCCTGTGTTGGGGCGTCAATTTCAATTTCCCGCCAACCAGTCCCTTGAATGACGTAAGTACGTTTCATGTATAGTATTCAATTTCTTTCCTAGCTCTTTGTTGTGGTTTCGTTTTCGACACTGGTGGACCATTTTCCTCGTTTCATCATCTCAACCGTCATGCTCATGCAACCCTCCACTTCCCAGACCAACCCAGGGCCACGCACCATGGCAGGTGCGTGAGGACGATTGCCCCTCACTCTTTATCAGCCAGCATCCACCATGGATGATGTCGTAGCAACTCAAAAAGAACAGTGTACAGTCACATCGTCTTAGCTGAGTGTATACAGGATCAGTCCATGGAGGTTCGAATCTCGATATCACCAGGTGTGAGACATTGTGTAAGGACATCTTGGCACCTCATCATATGAGGCTGCCTTGTGGGACGGATTATCCCAGTCTCTACGCACCCACATCGATCCCCTTCTCCCGAGCTTGCTCTGCAGGTCATAACATCAATCGACCTCTCCCTTCCGCTCGAACAAGCCTACGACGCCCTTCACAAACCTACGCACTCGATGTTATTCCCCCTTGACATTCACACAGCAAATTCGTAAAGGCAGGAATCGTATCCACAATCCGCTCATCATCGTACCCACTGACCTGCTGTTACGCCCAATGAATGTCGAGCCAGCTGCTGATCATGACCTCTCAACTGCCAACGTGATGAACTTTCTGCGAGACATGACCGTCAGATATTTTTCTAGCAAAGTCCCGGTCAGATCTGTCAGTCATGGTCACCAAGAAGCCAGCAAGAAAAGCTACTAAGAATGCAGTTCATCGTTTGCGATCGTGATCATGCCTGTATGTGATTGATATGTGAATTGTTTCTATGACACTTTTTGAATCAAAGTACCCGTCCGCCTAGGATTATGCCAGGATTCAGGCCTCGTGAGCGGCCAATCCGCATCTGCCCAGAAGCAAGTCTAGCGCGAACAGAAGGAAATTGCAAGGCAGATTAGCTAGGAGTAAACCATTGCGAGCAAGTCAACGTTCACCGTGTTCTACGACTCCGTATGAAAATGATACCTATGGCGGTCCAAACGCAACATAATTAAATCACGTGCACACGCAAATTTCATGCACGCACAGCAGAATCACGCGCACGCACACAAAAAAAATCGCGCGCAGAGACTCGACCATTGTTTTCGACAATCGAAAGTTGCTCCTCGCCATATTATAAGTACTAATTGCGCAGCATTGTAGTCCTAGCTTAATGGGAAACAAATCAATTTAGTGAGACATCAACCAGGCCCTCAACCCCTCGAGCTTATCCTCCACGAATCCGTCTTCCATCAAAAGACATCCTGTTTCCTTCACGTTTGCGACGGAAGATTCCCGGCAATCACTGCAAACGTGTGGAACCTCGACCGAATCAAGGTGTGCAAGAATATCCCAGCCAGAATAGAAGATATCAGGGTGTCGCAACATCTCCGCAGGGCCAGCTTTCCAACCCGTTTCCCAACCGTTGGCACATGACATTGGTGTATGGCAAAGCATCCCGGCCATAGCAGGGGGAACAACAGCTGCTAGGGTGAGCCGGTGTGTAGAAATCTGATGTTTAACTTGAATTAGTGCATGTAAGATGTAAGCAGGAATTTTTGCTAAGCCCGCTGGTCCGAGGCTTTCGATGGGGAGCGAAACAAGCTCTCTGAATGCGGGAGTCAGCCATGGAAGGATTTTGAACTGGTGACAAAGCTGGAGCTTCGTTGGCAAGTCCAGATCAGGGTGTGCCTCCAGTTGATTGACGGCATATGACTTCCCAACGCTAACATCGAAGACGGCACTAATAGTCAGTAGTGACACAAGAGTGGACGCGGATTCTGGTGGTGTGTTGTTGACTTGTTCCGTGTTGCCGTCGCTGTCGCTATCTGTATCCTGGAGCCTAGTAGCAGAAATCAGTAGTGATACTAGTAGAATTAAATAAAATATCCAACGCACTTTCCAAAAAGGTGATCAAGAAGACAATCGAAATCCACACTGGAATGCCCGTGAAGCACAATGGGTGTGTTCATCAGGAAATCGGCCATGAGATGATTTTGATAGATATTTTTGGCAAAATCAGATCAAATATCCTCGAATTATATCCAAATACATAGGCATTGGCACGGGTATGGGTAACCCGTGCGGGTTACGGGTACGGGTCCCTGACGGGTACGGGTGCGGGTACGAGTGTGGGGTACCCGTGGCAGGGTACCTGTACCCGTCAGGCTAAAAGTAGCCATGTCGCACCTGTCACATATATTGCACATATATTTGAAACTAACATATATTAGAAACTATACAGAATTAAAAAAAACTTTATTTCGACCCCAAAAAAACTGACAGGCCGCCAGCGCATCTTTCGCAACCTCTCGCAAGCTTTGAAAGCCCCACTCCACCTCCATTCACCACAATGTTTCATAAGCGGGTCAAGAAACTCACCGAGAAGGCCGCGCAGGCTGTTGCGGAAGGCACGACAAAGCTAAAAAGGAAGGTTAGCACCGGTAGTCAAGAGCCTTCCTCCCCGCACCATAAGTCGACAAGCTACTATCCAAATTGAACAGGATCAAAGTCAGCGAGCTACTGTACAAACGGAAGAGGAGGATGGCATACAGGATGCTATCAATGTGGACTCCGAGACGTCATCTGATGATGCCGAGACCTCAGAAGCTGAGCTCGGCAAGTTAATTATCCTGAGCATACCATTATGTTAATCAGTTTTTATTTCACAGACAAGCTAAAAAAAGGGTGGACATCACCGGTTTATGCGTTCTACGAGCCAATACCAAGCATTGAATATATTGGCGGGCGGTGCTCCCATGTATTCCAGTGCATGGGGAAGGGTTGCAAACAGCGCGTTCGGCGCTACCTCGACAAGGGCGATGCGAAGTCGACGAGCAACATGGCCAAGCACGCCAAGAGCTGCTGGGGGCCAGAGGCATATGATGCCGCACAAGAGACTAAATCAGCAGCAGCAGCACGTGAAGGCGTCATCAAAAACTTACTGAAATCCGGCACTATCACGTCCTCTTTCGAAAGAACATCTAAGGGTAAAGTGACCTATTCACATAGGCAACACACGAAGACTGAAACCAAGTAAGTACTCACTAGTATGTACATGAACACGCTACTGACACATTGCCAAAGGGCAGAGATCGTGCGTTGGGTCTCGGAAAGCCTACGACCATTTGAGACTGTCAGCGACCGAGGATTTCAGTCGTTGATGAAGACGGGGCGTCCTGAATACTACCTACCTTCACCTTCCACGGTGTCACGCGACGTGAAACTTGTATTCGCGAATGTTCGACAACGGATCGCACGAATGCTGCAGGTGATGCACGCCGTTGTCGAATGTCACAAAAAAAAACTAAAAATCTGAAAGGAATATGATGGTGAACTCAACTTCGCGACAGATGCATGGACCTCACCTAATCATAAGGCCTTTGTGGCGGTCTCTGTGCACCTTGAACACCAGGGCAAACCTCTGGCCATGGTTCTTGATGTTGTTGAAGTTGCGCAGGTGGGTGTGCTCGATTAGCTTCACATCACCCTGAGACTGACGGCAAGTCAGTCACATTCTGGTGCCAATCTCGCAGAGGCCTTTGCTAAAATTTTAGCCGACTTCGGAATAACTGACAAGGTCAGTACCACTCACCATGATGCGTACTATATGAAGGGGGGTTGGTGCCAGCGTTGGTGGGGGGTTGGTGTTGGCATTGGCGAAGGGGGGTTGGTGTGCCAGCGTTGGTGGGGGGTTGGTGTGCCAGTGTAATGCTGCGTCTAGTTCGACGGTGGTTTGACGGATCGCCAGTGGAAGAGATATGAGTGAGGGGGATGCATTCACTGGGGGTACAGAAGGTAAGGTGTGGTTTTTATATGTAAGTGAGTGGCAGTACAAGGTTAGTACTTCGGAACGGTAAAGGGGAACTTCGTAGCCGGTAGTACAAAGGGAATTCCATAGCTAAAGGAATGACATTCCTTACACCTCCTCCACACTCGAAATATCAACCGTCCTCGGTTGATCTCCAAACAAAACAAAAAAAAATCCTTCCTAACCCAAAACCGGTAAGCGGCGGCAGTGCTCGGCTTAGACAGACGAGGATGTGACAAGAGTGAAAGTGTAGCGACGAAAATGAGCTAATGGACCACGGATGTTGAGTGCGAAGTTGCGGGAATAGGAATGGATGCAGAGTACGGGTGCGACGAATACGAGTGATCATGATATCAATTTGCTAGTAGCGGCCATTTGAGTTGGTAAAGCTTCGAAGGGGGCGGTGGAAAAAAAAAAAGGGGGGGCTGGGCATTCTCGACGATCATCAAGCTCCGACGAAGCCTCGTTTAGGCATTCTCAGACATCATGACGTCGCCGACGAAGCCAGCGAACGATTCGTTAAACAGGTTGAACTTTGAACTTTGGACTTCTGATAGGACTTTAGGCTTGAGGACTGTAGGCTTGGACGTTGGCGGCGGGATAAGTGAAGCTGTACTGGATTTATGGCGTGGGCGTGATGTACTAGCGGTGATAGGGCAGGTAGCGCGCTTTCTCGTGAAACTGGGTAACTCCGCAGGGCGCTCTATGGGCGTTGCGTGGAACGTGGGAACATGAACGTGGTGGTGGTGACACTTTTGTGCGACGTTGTGCGCAAAGCACGGGAAACGTTGTGAGCGTCGTCAAGCTCTGAAGATCTGAAGGATCATTTATTGCTTTCCTTTTTTTTTTTTTGTGAAAAAAAAGAAAATAAAAAAAACTGGGGGCGGGGACGATCCGAAAATCAAATCCAACCGCAGCGGTGGGCTCCAATGTGTAATGCTGCGTCTAGTTCGACGGTGGTTTGACGGATCGCCAGTGGAAGAGATATGAGTGAGGGGGATGCATTCACTGGGGGTACAGAAGGTAAGGTGTGGTTTTTATATGTAAGTGAGTGGCAGTACAAGGTTAGTACTTCGGAACGGTAAAGGGGAACTTCGTAGCCGGTAGTACAAAGGGAATTCCATAGCTAAAGGAATGACATTCCTTACACCAGCGTTGGTGGGGGGTTGGTGTTGGCATTGGCGAAGGGGGGTTGGTGTGCCAGCGTTGGTGGGGGGTTGGTGTTGGCATTGGCGAAGGGGGTTGGTGTGCCAGCGTTGGTGGGGGGTTGGTGTTGGCATTGGCGAAGGGGGGTTGGTGCCAGCGTTGGTGGGAGGTTGGTGTTGGCATTGGCGAAGGGGGGTTGGTGCCAGCGCTTCACAGTGCTGGCGTTGAGTAGATGACGGCACTTCACAGTACAGCTGCTTACCATCCTGCAGATACTGAGCATCACGGCCGACAACGCAAGCTCTAATGACACACTCACGACTGAGCTTGCCGACCTCGTAGCTCACTTCGGAGGGCCCACATCACGAACACGATGCTTTTTGCATGTAATCAACCTCGTGGCGAAATCGTTAATAAAGCAGTTTGACTTACCAAAGGCCAAAGATGTTCCCACTGACGCAGAGTCACTTGCACTTGACTCGGATATGGCGAGAGATATGAGGAGCGAGGATGAAGCCACAATTGCAGAGAACGGGGATGGTGACCCGGATGCAGAGGATGTTGACAATGAGGATGGGTTGGTCGACGAAATAGACCTGCTGACAGCGCATGAACGCACTGCATTGGAAGCAAACATTCGGCCCATTAGATTGACACTAGTAAAGGCAAGTTTGAGTTTATACATGATTAAAGACATGAAAAATTAATCCACTCACCAGCTGCGCAAACTTGCCTTCAAGATTGTCCACTCTACTACACTCCTTCTCCCTGCATGGAAAGACGCTACTGAGGAACTAGGACTTGGATCCAGGATCATGCCGCATGATGTGTCGACCCGTTGGAACTCCACATTTGATATGTTGGAGTTTGCGATCGATCACCGCAAAGCGATTGATGCGATGACTGATAAGCGTAAGTTGGGACTTGGAGTGTATGAATTAGATGATCACGCGTGGACACTTGTGACACAGCTGCGAGATGTTCTGAAGGTAAGTGACACGTCACACATTACACAAGCTGTGACTGACCTTCTACAGATCCTCAAGCATGCTACCCAATACTTCTCGCGATCAACTCCCAATCTTGCGATGGTCATCCCAGCGATGGACCATATCGACACGACGTTCACCAACGGTATCCTTAACGCTCACGTCCTTGACCCTGCCATTCGCGCGGCATTGAAACTGGCAAAAAGAACCCTCAACAGATACTATTCGCTCACTGATACCTCCGAAACATACCGTGTGGCTATGGGTATGCTCTTGTCAAGTCTTCCTTCTTATGATGATGCTAACTTCATATTTTTTTCACCGGCAGTCCTTCATCCCCAGCACAAACTGCAATACTTCCGGAATGCAGGCTGGGAGAATGAGTGGGTTACCACGGCTGAACATCTCGTGCGTGAGGTGTATGACCGGTCATATGCTGTGCGAACAGTTGCTCAGGGTGTCAATGCTGGTGACGAGGTAAGTTTCATGTCTCCGTGTCCCTCATTATTTAACTAATCTATTGCTGTTAAATGTTGCCATAGATTGATGCTCACAATGTCATTGACGAGACGTTGAATATCTTCGACTCACTCCCAACACTGGCCGCACCTCAAGTCATATCACACGAGCTCGACAAATATCTAAGCACCGATGTTGAAAAAGTCGGCGATGTACTGGCTTGGTGGCACGAACGTCGCGCTATGTACCCACGCCTCTCTCGCATGGCCCTAGATTACCTGTCAATTCCAGGTGAGTTTGTTTTTATTCTGACGTGAATCTTCGATGTTTTTAATGTGGCTTTCCAGCAACGTCTGTTGACGTCGAGCGCATTTTTTCTCGCGGACGGCTCATTCTTTCTCACGTGCGTTCAAGACTTTCGGCGCAAACGACACGAGCTCTTCTTTGCCTTGGAAGTTGGAGTCTCCTTGGTCTGGTGAAAGACAAGGATGTTACTGCTGTGACATGCAAGCCTGACCTCGAAGGAGAAGAGCGGGAGTTGGATGAGGGCTGGGATGATATCATTGTGTAGTTCTCGCATGTCTAGTAGCTAGATTTGAATGTACACCGCGGGTTTACCCCTCACGGGTACCATACCCGCTGTACCCGCTCCGACCCACGCGAAGACCCGTACCCCCTGGTACCCTTGGGTACACGGGTATGGGTACATTGCGGGTACGGGTGCGGGTCGAGGTCTGGATACCCGCGGGTTTACCCGTGCCAATGCCTACAAATACATGGTAATATAAAATGATGATGAAGACATGTATGTCTCATAAATATGATACATTGTAGATAAAGTGTAGAAAAATGTCCAGCATCTCGCCAAAAAAGTGGTCACCTACTGCCTACACTTGCCTTTGCGATGGCTGTTTGCAACATTATCCAGCCGGCAATCACACCACTACCTATAGGCGCCACATTTCAGTGTAACACACGGCTTAATCTATTGATTCCGCGAGTCCGTCTCGTTTAGCTAGGATGAAATTCATGTTTTGTAGCAGATGTTTGTACAAAGTAGTATAAAAATATCAGTCATACTAGTAACTGCCAGAAACATACCCGTCCCAACTAAAGTTTGATGCCATTTACGGAGAATCTGCTTGAACCCGGTCCATGACAGAGGGTCATCTGCGACAATACTTCCATGGTCTTTACTTGACCATTTATGCTGGAAACCCGGAAGCAGAATGGTCTTTCCGCCAACTTTCGTGTGATTCTCCAGAAAGAGTTGCTCATCTTGAGCCCACTTCCAGAGATCCGTCAATATCCCTAGTAAAAAATGCCCTAACGACTTCTGTCAAAGATAGTCATGAGTAAGAGATGTATACGGCTTACCATAGTTCTTGGCTTCGTATTCGCTGCAGGAAAAGACAACGCCAAAATAATGAGACCAGACTTTGTGAAGATCAGCTCGGCCGAGGTGCTGTTTATGAAGAATTTCCCAGTGAGCGCGCCTTCGTCATTCCAGACATTAATCCCGTCACCGCAACCGGAATAAACATTGCCCTTGGTATCAAGCTGAATGCCATCGGGTCCACCAGAGTCGATGTAGGCGAACACTCTACGGTTCGTGAACGACTGCGTCTTTGGATCAACATCGAATTCATAGCTTTTGGGTTTGCTTTAGTATCTCATTACCATCAAGTTGGGTGGGAAAACTCGCATCGTGGACGGAAGGGTCTGATTATTCCCGAGGAAGCCTCCGAAAAGACCCGTGTTGGTGCTAATGCATTATTTTAAGGATTGATCCAGATGCGAGACAAAACCGAACTTACATGAATGCCTTTTTATCGGGGGAGAATGCAATACCATTCGGGTGCACAAACTGGTCAGCGACAACCCTGACCTGCCCAGTGGACGGATCAAAGCGGTATACTTGTGATGGTAGCATTGGTTCAGGACGGAAACCGTTAAGTCCGTGCCGGGAAGAATTTTCATATTATTGAGCGAGTTGAACTGTCTGCCAAAGAAGTTGTCCAGAAGAACGGTGGTGTTGTAGGGAGGTTTGGGGTTAACACGCACGATAGAAGGAGGAAGCAAAGCGCGACCCGAGGTGACGAACAGAAGGTTACCCTTGTATGGGCCTGTTCCTACGTTGACCATTTGGACAGTATCAGAGAGGTTGAGCTGAAAGTCAAGGCGGTTAAGCAATGCAATGACCAAGCGGAAGTGACTCACTGTGTGAACCTGGATATTGACATCTCCAGTCGTAGAAGCAAGCGCAATGTCGACTTCTGTCATATTGATCATGCTAACAACGCTATTGTTAAACCAGCCGCTGTACCCAAGTGCGCCACCGCCATTGCTTGCAAAAAAGACCAAGTTGAGATCCGCAACGTAGATGGGTGCTTCGTGTGCAAAAGCAAAGCCAGGATTTGAAGCAATTTTGCGAATGGTGGCAGATGGTCCAGTGAGCTTGAGGAACGAAGAGCTTCACATGATCACCAAGCAACTAACAACACAGTAAGAATGCGGTAGATTGCAGAGTGAAACAGATGTTACCTTGTCATACACCACGAGAGTAGGGAACCCTGGAGTCCCTTGTGTGTGCATAACTTTGATGAATTGTGCACAGAAGTCTGAATCCATAGGCGACAGGAAGCATCGTGTTTGAATGCAGTGCTCGATGATTGCAAAAGCAAGAACCAATGAGCGATGCTCAACTAGGGTAATGTCACAACAGCATTGTATCTGTCCCGTTTGGCCCGATGGGAGCCAGCCGGCAAAGTCTTGAATATCGCAAGTTTTTCGTGAAAAGAATAACTCACCCAATGACATCAAGAATAAACCTCTTCTACACCCTCCTCCTCTTCCGCAATAAGCCTCTCCGCCTCAAGCGCAGCCATACACCCGCTCCCCACACTGGTAATAGCCTGTCTATACCTCTTATCCTGCATTGCGTTTTGATGCGGAGGTTGTTGAGGAGGTCGCCGTCACCCTGGCATTCAGTTGCGACGGTGTCCCACATGATGGACTGTGGAAGTGCGTGAAAGGTAGTTAGTGGCAAGGGGGTATGACGATAGAGGGGGACATACTATCGGGTCGCAGACTGCGCATGCGCTGATGCCGCTTTGCCAGTATGTGGCCTCGCCCTTGAGTCCTAGCCTCTTCATGCTCGCACCTTCACGTCAGCAGTTTCTGGTTCCTCGTGTTCCCGGCTCTCTCGCCAGTAACGAAACAGTCTCTGTGATGATGTGCGTGCCGAAGCGAATGGACTGCTCGCGATACAACTTACAACACATTCAAGTTGCGACTCTATGTGGCGGGTGATTATATAATCAACCCAAAAGACGCTGATATGCCTGCACAGCTCATCGATAATCCCAAACCGCATCATCAACTCACAATATGGTTTGGAAATATCGATGGGACAACAAAAGACGGTGAGTATCAATAGCAAAGTAAGTTTCATACCATACTGATCGCCGTCCATCCACAGGACAGTTGTGGGCTTCCAAAGAAGGGCGAGGCGGAGAGTGTTGTGGTAGTGGTGATCAGACCTTTGATCCCGGGTTCCAGGGGAAGGAAAGTAAGGTATGCAAATAGTTAGAGCACCACGCACACTCGCTAATTTGCGTAGCCCTCACATGAACGGGGAGCCGCCGGGGAGACTGATGTACCGAACATTCCGGCGCCAGCCTCACAATCACCCGTTATGCACGATCCGGAGCTCACCTGGTCAGGTATTCATGTCCATGCTCATCCGGCCTATTCTGTCAACTCCCGCCCTCCCGGACGCCTAACGGATATGCAACCCGCGACAGATTCCCTCGATTGCCCCTCGTTCCTGTCCATCCATGTCCATCCATCCCCATTGGTGCGTCATTTCTCTCCTTTTATCACTCTGATCAAGCAGCAGACTGTTTTACATGTACATTCCCATACATGAGGCCGCTTACCGTCCCTTACATATTACCGCGCTACGGACTCGCCTATACTACCGTCGCTTAAACGAATCCCGAGTTCTTACGGGTTAAGATAAATAGTTGCGTCGTACTCTGCCAATATTACTTCCTTTTACTCCCTTGGATTTTCTGTCTAAGTTGGTGTGATCAACAAGTCCCCTTAGTCTTCCGTACCGCAACAGACTTCTTCCCGTTCCTCGGATCACTTCCGGTAGCTCGTTACATCGAGACCTCAACACCTAGACACCTTGCCACCTCGATACCTTGCTACCTCGACACCTTGACAAATCCGTACCGCTAGATACCCGTCCTGTCAGAATCATTCCCGTCCGGACATCTTCCTCTCACATCGGATCTCCCATCGCTCACCGGCTGCTCAGATCTTAAGCCCGTCGGATTGATTCCTTTGCATTTATTGTGAAGACATCCCTCAGTCGCAATCCCCTTGGGACGAGCTATAATACTCGCACTCAAACGGATCTGTAGTCTACACTAACAGGCTACACGGAATCACTTTCGCTCACCGAAGTATCAGAATATTGAGAAGGCAGTTCGGCTAGTGCGAATGAGCGCCAATGAGGGGGCCGATGAGGGGCCGATGTAGTCTACCACCTTGTAGGACTGTTGTGCGAGGGTCATATCATATTCCATGGGCACAGGAAGGGTGACACCCATTCCAAAAAACCAAGCCTACGTTGACACAATCGTGAGTCGAGTGAGTCGAAGGACAAAAGATCTAATACTTGCATCCCAATCAATGCATTTGAGCGCTTCAAGCTCGTCGCCCCCACCAAACTACGTGTAGTAGGCAAAAAGATGCTCCTTCCCCATGTCTGTGGTGATGCTTTTACCCATAAATGTCTTGACATAATCTTTCATATATGGGAGGAACACGTCTAAACCACCTAATGTCCATTCTGAAACCCTAAAAACTCTGTCAACATCCTGAAAGGCCTCTTAGACTAAACAAGCACCACTGACCAATGTGAAGGAGGAAATTAGCGCCTTTGTCGTACGGTACTGAGCTGTAGGTGTCGTCGGGGTTTTCGCCCTTCTCAAACTCAATCCGCAATTTCCGATACTTCTTGTTGCGCAGCTCATAAAACTTGAGGTCGTCGTAAAGGTCCTTCGCACCGGTCAAGAAAGAGAATCCCTGGTGAGCAAGACAATGCAATATCTGCTTGAGGAGGCGCTCAATGTAGGTCGTCCAACCTTCGTTGAGCCAAAAGTGTGAAGCGTCTGCGTGTCTGCATAAGAAAATCAATCACAAAGAGAAGGAGAGGAAGGAGGTTATACTATTCCCAAATTAGGAGTGCGTGATCTCGTGGACAACGACGTCCACCAGTGTCCTGTCACCAGTCAACAAAGCTGACCTTTGGTCAGATATACATCTCGATAAGCCACATTCTACATTCCAGCTCCAAGGCTACGTACCAAGTACCTCTAGCAGGACTTTGGCACATTGATCATTCCATTTCATTGACCCCAAACAAAGCAAAGATGAGTGAAGTTAGCCAGCATTTTGAATTCCACGGTGTGTCGGTAGGGGTTATGCAGAGGCTAGGATAGGGGCTGAAGAGCTTGATGAGTCAGAGGTGTCAGAGGCATTAGAGGTGTCAGAGGTCTCAGCCAGGTCTTAGAGGTAGCGCATGTGACCAGTAGTCCTCACTCAAACCATCAGCAGAGTCTGTGTGTTGCTTGTCACCCGTCTCGTCGTACCGACTCACCTGGTGACTAGAGCGAGCACGCCTTGTGCCTCACCGCCCCAGCAGTCGACAGAATCAGTTTTTCGTTGTTTTCTCATTTTTTTGCTTTTTTCGTTTTCCCATTCTAACCTTAGTTTTTCATTCTCGTTCCAACTGACGTCTCGTCAAATCAGCATCACGGCTCTCACATTAGACGATGTTGCAAGACTACAAAGTCTACTTCCAGAGATATCCACGATTCCACCAACTCCCCATAGACGAGCTTCAGACTCGGCACTTAGAGTGCACATCACCTCACCGCCAGTGGTAGTACCAGCAGTACTAAGGCCTAACCTTAGACACGTATGCGACAAGCACGCAGCCAGCCAGATATCAGCGAGCAGCCAACCCCAGTCACAAACAGTTCCCACCGCATACACCGCCCCACCTCCTCAACACGTTCACCAGCCAAACATGACAACTGTACCCGTACTACCGCTCCTTAAGGGAGATTATGTCGGCGGAGAAGAGCCTAACGAGTGGATGCGCCAACTCGATCTCAACTTACCATCCACGTGGAACGACGCACAAAAAGTCGAGTGGTTCAAAAGGCAATGTGCACCGGGTAGCCTAGCAGAGGCATGGTACATGTCATTATCGGCGGCACAAACAGCTACGTGGTCCGACCTAGAGACAGCGTTCCTCGTACGCTGGCCACCAGCAATCCCACTCCAGTTAACCTCAGCCCAGAAGAAGGAACGACTAAAAGCGGTAGTATTGAAGGAAGCGGACATAGGAATGATGATAGACGACGAGAGAGGCCAAGAGTGGGGACACGTAAGATGGGCGAGGCAGGTGCAGAGGCTAGCGCAGAGTTTTGGCGATAACACTTGCCAGTTTTTGGATGTGGTGCTCAATGGAGTTCCAGACTTACTTCGCGATCAGCTGTCCGACACCTACACTGACTGGGCGGCATTCCTCACAGGAGTAAACGGAGTATCGATCAACCTCCTTGCAAGGGCACGTACACGCGCAGCAGAAGAACAAGCCATGCGAGAAGACATTGCTCAGTTGAAGGCTAGGTTGCAACCCCAGCAGCAGGCACCGCAAACACGTTCCTACCCTTCGAACCCGCCGGCATACAGGCCTTATCCCCGCCCACCTAACAACCCAGCAACCATGCCATCCGCGCCAGCACCAGCCATGAGCCTACACCAGCAAGTCAATCAAGGACAACCGAACTTCGCACCCTCCATGCCCTACCAAGCACCTTCGTATCAACCCCAACCATCGACACCTGGGCAAAACCCATTCGCGCTGACAGGAGCAGTACCGAGCACAAACCTTTTCTACCGTTACCAGCGGTTTCCACAGACTCCGTCTCGATCGGGTGCAGTAGACAGAATCCGCATGGTGGCCCAGTACTCAATGTTACAGCACTTCCCAGACTCAGAGTCAGGACGAACAGCGTATTCCCAGCAGGTAAAGGAGTGGCACGAGAAGCACGGAGCAGACACGATGCCCCACACAGGACGGCCCTACCACCTGAAACCAGGCTCCGCACCCTTGGGGTCGCGGGAGTGTTTCACGTGCGGGATGATAACGGTGCCATCGCACCAAGCAGCTAGCTGTCCCAACGCACCAATGATACCGCAGGAAACGAAGTGGAGAGAAATAGTATCAGGCCTAGTAGGACGAGCGATCAGGGGGCAGAACCAGCCAGCAACACCATCCACAGCAGTACAGTACATCTCATCCGCACCAATGCCACCCATGAACTACTACGACCCTATGGGAGCGTACCAGCCGTACACCACCTCATACGCAGAGCCACAATACGACTATTTGGGAAATGGGACGGGACTACCGCAGTGAAGGGCAACACCGTAGTCCCGGACGAAGAGACCATCAAACTGCTGATGCCAGCTCCTGTCGCCCCCACATCATTCCACGAAGAAGAGTATGAGTATATACCGTCCCCCAACATTTCATCCGGCTTCACTTCTTACATGTCCCCCACGACTTCAACGCCCATTGACTCCGAGGAAGTATCGGCTGTATCGTCTCCAGTATCGTCAACTGACGGTGATGCCCTCACACGTCAAACCACCACAGCCGATAGACAAGACTTGTTGGTCGTCAATCTTTCCCCCGTTCCCGTTTCACCCGCGTCGTTAGAACCAGCACTGTCCGATACGTTTAGCTTATTAGAAAAACCCACTACCATCGATATCTCCATCTCAAGTATCACGGACACTGGAACCCCTGAGATTGTTTCACTTGCCTCATCACCCAGTTCCCATATCCCCATAACTACGTCACTTACACACGATGTACTGCAGGATGCAATCGAAACCATTGACTTGTACTCGGTGGACTCACGAACGGTGCAGGCAGAGGGGCAACCGTTCATAACGCAAATCAATATGTATGGGAACGACGGTAGCTCGTCCAATTTTCACGCAAATGTCGATGATGGGGCCATGATCAATGCAATCGATGAAGAAGCTTATTGTACAGCATCAAAAAGAATGGGAACGCTGATGCCATCAACCCGTGTTCTGCGCATGGCAGATGGTTCCTTGGTGCCGTCCCTGGGAATTTGGACAGGGAAGGTCAAATGGCACACGGCGAAAACCGTTGTAACATTCAAAGTCTTTCCAAGCGGAGGCTCTTGGAGGGTTTTAATCGGCAAACCGCTACTACAACAATTATGCGCTATTCATGACTACGCCAACGATACAATAACCCTTCCCAGCACCAATCCATACATCAAGACGCCAACGATCCTGCCAAATATGTTTGGCACCCCTGCAGCACGATCCAAGCGGACGACACCAGCGCCAACCAGCTCCACTGATACCCAGCAGCCACCATCTCAAGCAACGAACCCCACGGATATCTACCCTTCCCCGCTTCCACCAACCAGCTCCACTGATACCCAGCAGCCACCATCTCAAGCAACGAACCCCACAGATATCTACCACTCTCCGTTTCCACCAACCAGCTCCACTGACATCCAACAGCCACCAACTCAAGCAACAAACCCCGTGGACACACCTCATCTGCCGCAGAGCACGTCAATCCTGTTCACAGAAGAAACGGCTTACGAGGACGAACTAGGAGAAGTGCCCGAATTTCAGATACCCAGTGAAAAGGACAGAGGAATCTACACCCGAGCCACAGATCCGTTCAATCCGGCCCGAGTAAAAGAGATCTTGAAGATGGTGAAGATCAGGGATGATCTATCAGAAGAACAGAGAGAGAAGGTTGAGAAGTTCATCGCTGATCACACAGACACGTTCGCGATCACGATCAAAGAAGTATTTCCAGTCGATTTTAAGTCCTTTAAACACCTGAGTGGCACCATCTAAATTACTAATAAGTAATTATGTCAGGTACCTGAATCCTTTACTAACTAGTACTGCGTAGCTACATTCTACTATACCAGCAATAAAACCAGTAAACCAGCATTACCTTGGGCTATTCAGTGTGCTCGTCTTACTTAATATGACCACGGCTGTTCTCGGTGGCAATGAGTCACCCCCGCGTAATCCCGAATAGCGTCATCGACCGTTTTCTCACCTGTTGTCACTGTGTCCGCTTATCACCCGCTTAGCTGCCCATCGTCCCCAACGACGAGCTCAACATATGGCTTATCTGCGCCTGTTTCTCAGCGGTTTTTTCAGGCCTCCTTGCTAATGGTCCCGTCTCATCTCCTCCTCCTCGTCACGCCCTCAAACCAGCAGTAATGTATGATATACAGCGTCTATCATGAAATCTTACTGACTAATCTCTTACACATCTTAGACCATGACTCTACTACATGCTGCTATCATCAAACAATAAGTCACAGCGTGCAAGGTGAGTGTTCCCACAGTCCCTTCCTCTCAACCTTCAAGCACTGTAGCAGGTGTTTGACAATGAATACTGGCAAGCGGAAACGCCTCTCCACAATAACCACGGGTGCGCGAGACAGGATCGTCAAAGACTACCAGAGCAACCCTGACTCAAGTACGGAGGGACCGGTTAGCATTTGAAGAAGAGCAACGTGTTGCCAACATCCGTATGTCCACCTACTATTCTTTTAACGATCTTTTCTAACTCTATGTAGAGTTAACAGCCAAGACACGGCAACTCCTTGCAGAGGCAGCACTCGAAGCTGGCCGGACATCAGCCAGGGACTCTGCACGTTCTCCTGAGTATGAGAATTGGGACCATGCCAACTATGATGAGAATGGGGCCGAGGCTGATGATACCGACACTCAACACAATGATGGCGGTGAGGACGACGAGGGTGATGTTGCAACTGTAGGACAAGATGCTCTCAGTGCCACTCACGCACAAGTAATTTTTTGGTAAGTCAAGCCCTTCGTTCTCTTAACATCTATCTCACAATGTATTAGTTTGCAAGGCAGGAAGAATTTGCGACATCGAGCCCCTCGTACTCGTCTCCTACGCAATCAACAGATGCATGCTGCATGGTCCCATCAAATGACGGACCTGGTTGATGCCTTTTTGTCGTGGAAGTACCAGGGCGTTCAAACGAGTGATATACCAGGGTCTATATTTCATGTTACGAGTGTCGGCATCACAAGTAAGTGTCAAGCAAACTGGGGGTCTTATTGATAAGTCAACATTCGCAGGTTTTCATAGCCTTCAACCAATCCACCAGAAGCTAGATGAGCCTGCCAATGTTTCCTTGATCAAAGCCGGTGAGCGAAAGAAATTCCGTGTAGCCTGTTAGTGTAGACTACCGATCCGTTTTGAGTGCGAGTATTATAGCTCGTCCCAAGGGGATTGCTACTGAGGGATGTCTTCGCAATAAATGCAAAGGAATCAATCCGACGGGCTTAAGATCTGAGCGGCCGGTGAGCGGTGGGAAATCCGATGTGAGAGGAAGATGTCCGGACGGGAACGATTCTGGCGGGACGGGTGTCTAGCGGTGCAGATTTGGTCAAGGTGTCGAGGTAGCAAGGTATCGAGGTGGCAAGGTGTCTAGGTGTCGAGGTCTCGATGTAACGAGCTACCGGAAGTGATCCGAGGAACGGGAAGAGGTCCGTTGCGGTACGGAAGACTAAGGGGACTTGTTGATCACACCAACTTAGACAGTAAATCCAAGGGAGTAAAAGGAAGTGATATTGGTAGAGTACGATGCAACTATTTATCTTAACCCGTGAAAACTCGGGACCCACTTAAGCGACGGTAGTATAGGCGAGGCCGTAGCGCGATAATATGTAAGGGACGGCAAGCGGCCTCATGTATGGGAATGTACATGTAAACAGTCTGCTGTTTGATCAGAGTGATGAAAGGAGAGAAATAACGCACCAATGGGGATGGATGGACATGGATGGGCAGGAACGAGGGGCAATTGAGGGAATCCGTCGCGGGTTGCGTACCCGTTAGGTGTCCGGGAGGGCGGGGAGTCGACGGAATAGGCCGGATGAACATGGACATGAATACCTGACCAGGTGAGCTCCGGATCGTGCATAACTGGTGATTGTGAGGCTGGCGCCAGAATGTTTGGTACATCTGCGGGGGACTCAAATACTGACCGTCCCCGGTCAGTCCTGTGTGCGGAATGGACTTAGCGGTTTTCTTGTCAGAAGGTCACATGACCGTGTGACCGGCTAGTCGGAGCGAAGAAGTGCGGAGTCTTTTGCGGAGTTCGGGTGGATGGTGTGGACGCGTCGACGCGTTGTTCGTCCCTATAAATTCTCCACATCTAATCCTTCCTTTCTTCCTTCCATTCTCCATCATCTTTCCTCATGGCACCTTTCAACTTTGCTTCTGCGTCCGTCGCTACTGTCGATCCCGAAGTTGACAACTTCAGCGTGATTTCGCGGCCCTCAAGACGCGTTTGGGCGGCGTCGTCGCGTGCATTCCTGATGAGACGGGTGATGCGGTGGAGGATAGGATTCAGTGGTTGTGGCAGTGGAAGGTTTTATCGGTACGTTGCGGTGACTTCTCCTTTCATGACGCGTCGCTAACCTTTGAATAGAGTGATCTATCCGTCTGCTCCATGGCCAGGCTTGCCAAGGGTCTCCCCTTTGATTTTTCTGAGGCGGAGGTGGCCAGCGGTAATACTGCCAACGCGGCCTTCGATCGTTTCACCGCGGAACTGAAGGCCATCGAAGAGAAGAAGGCTCGCCAGGCTACTGAAGAAGCCGCACGCAAGACTGCTGAGGCTGAGGCCGCTAGGTCCGCGGACGTCGAGGAGGAAGAAGCACCCGTTCGTGCTCCGCGACAGGACGGGAAGAGGAAGCGTAGCGAGGCGGTAGTGGAGTCCGATGATGAGGATGTCGCGGACAAGGAGATTGTGGTACAGGTGCGTGCTTGTGTGTTTGTTTCCCCTGCATATTTTGCTGACTTCCTTGTTTAGAGAAAAACACCCGGCATAGCTCCCAAGCATGCGACCCGCTGCGTCAAGTGCGCTCAGACCGACCGCGACTGTTTTGGTTTCCCCGGGGTCGCTTGCAACGGGTGCAAGAAGTTGAAGGTCGGTTGTATCCATTCCAACCGCAAGAAGCGCCGTGTCCAGGCCGCCCCTACCCCTCCTGTCCCCTCCAGCTCTCGTTCCGGTACCATCCGTCGCCCGAAGTCTACCGTTTCACCTCCCATCGTACTTTCCGACTCTGATGGCGACGCCGAGTCCGTTATTTCCAAGGCACCCGCTTCTCCCAAGCGCAAGGAGGCTGAGGAAAGTGATGATGAAGAGGAGGATGAAGTCGAAGAAGAGATTTGCGGTGCGGACAAGGAGTTCCCTAGCCTCGCCAACTCTGGACTTGGGGATGAGGAGGTTGCTATCCGGGGTGAGATCCGCCGTCTCCGCGCCAAGGCATACCAAGCCAATGCGCTGATGATGGAGGTCGCTAATGGACTTGATTTGATTGAATACCGCCTTAACCGTCGCCGTACTTAGATGCCCGGTTTATATCACTTGTACTTATAGCTTGTTTGAAGGCCAAAGTAGCCTTAGTGAATGAAGTGTCCGTGTCCGTGTCCGTGTCCATGTCCGTGTCCTGATCCCCATTGAGTGCCTGTGAGATAAGTAATAGTAAATGAGCATGCGCTTGCGATGCGGAAGAAGGTGAATGAAGACGGGTTACTTTGCGGATTCCCGTCCGTCTTGTCTTCTTCGTTGCGCTTCCCTCATCTATGCCTTCCCATGTTCCCGTGATGCGAGTCCGATAACAAAGGGGCGTGGTGCGTACGGCACGCGTGTGAAGTGAAATATAGGTATTTGGTCCGTTATACGCACTGAAAAGAAAGAGGTATTATGAGTCTTGGATATATAGGATCGATCGGGACGGATTATGATGTGGTTTCTTGTGCTGTGAGAGCGTGTCTGCTAAAATGGGTGCGGTTGAGATCGCCGGACGAAACCCGGGGTAAAACGGATACTGAATATGGTACGGAATATTGTCTGTGCATATATATATGAGTCCGATGGTGGTGCGAAGTGGTTATTCTTCAATGTTGATATTGAATTCTTCTTCGTCCGGCTCATAACCGTCTTCTGCCGCTAGATTGTCCAATGCTTCATCCGTTATTCCGGTAATGCTTGTGACGGATATTTTTGTCGTGCTGCGAGAAAAATAGGGTATTAATCGGAATGCTGCATATCGTAACTTGGACACAGATCCGTCGATCTCTGCAAGGAGATATGAACCGCCTTTAGTCCGTCGAAGGACCACCATAGGACCGAGATATCGCGGCTTCGTCTTTCGACTTAGCTCCTTCTCAACTCTGGTGTTCCGTACCAATACCAGGGTTCCGGACGGGAAGTCGTAATCCTTGATTGAGTTCCGGTACTTTTCCTCGAATCTGCGGATTGACTGATACCTTGATTCGAGTACTTTGTCTTTGATGGCATCTAGGTCTTCTTGTCGTTTCTGTAGTTGGCGGGCGCGCCATGCGATGAGATCTGCGGTAGAGAACTTTTCCTGGTCCGGAAGCGCAACCAGGAAGGTTGCTTCAGCTAAATCAAACGGAAAAACCGGTTCGACTCCATGAACCATAAAATATGGTGACAATCCGGTTGACTCTTGGATAGTTACCCGTTCTGCCCAAAATACCGTATGCGTGACCTGGTACCAGCGGGATTCGTCCCCCTCGCAACTTTTCATGATGGCCTCCCGGACATCAAGATGCCGTCTCTCAACTATACCATTTGCTTGCGAGTTGTATGGCGAGATGCGGATAGGGTGGATACCGTATCTGTCTGCAAGTGAATCAACTGCTGCACGGAACGCGGGTCCGTTGTCCGTGACGATCTCCGTGACAGGACCCCATCTGCATAGGATGTCTTCGAATATGAAGTCGGCCAGGATCTTTGTCGTTTCTCGGCGGATCATTCTCCATTCCGGGTATCCGGTCAAAGCGCAACGTGCTTGAACTAATCGGTCGAATCCGCCCGCTTTGGGCATCATCATCGTGTCCATGTGTGCTTTCCGGAATATTCCGTATGGAATAGGAACGGACGGGGGGATATGCAGTTTGCGGGTCTGTCGGATCTGACATTCGTGACATGTTTTGTTGTACCATTTGATATCGTCAATAATCATGGGCCACCAAAATCGTAAGAGAAGACGGGTCCGGATTGTCAGTATACCTTTGTGTCCGAGATCATCATGGGCTTCTTTGAGGATTCGTAACCGTTTGCCCACCGGGACTACTAGTTGATGCTTGCCGTGGGAGTGCCGTCTCCATAGGTTTCCGTCCATAATGAAGTATCTAGCTGCGGATGTAACAAACGCTTCAAAGTCGCGGTCCGTGAGCTGTGCAGGTCTTTCCCGTGTCTCCAGGAAGCGTCTGATTTCGATGATCCGGGCGTCCGTTGCTACTGCGGATTCGGAGCGGGGTATTTCAACCTCATCTGTGGAACTGTCCGCAGAGTCTAAGAATGCTAGAAGGGTTGGGGGACGGGCATCTGTCAGTGGTACGGGTTGCTCATACGGTATGCGTTCAATAAGATTCGCAATGCCGGAAATGCGGTAGGCTCGATCGTTCAGGATTTCCATGCAAAAGGAGTACGACCGATCTAGCCAATCTTCGTGGTCATCATCCTCATCCGGATCATCTTCCGTGATTGGTCTCCTTGAGAGTCCGTCGACACCGGTATGTTTCGCAGCAGATACATGTACAAGTTTGAAGGAAAATAAGAGTATACCTGCAATCCATCGGTTGATCGTCGCATTCGGTTGGAGGTCCGGGTTGTTGATCATACCCTTGATGTACTTTGCGTCGACCTCAACCGTTAGGTTGGTGACACCAAAGATAAATACGCGGACGGCACGGAGTGCGCGGAATAATCCGTAGAGTTCCAGTTTCGCTTGAGAGTAGCGGCTTTCAACTTCCGTGAGTGATATGGATCCGAACCGGTTTGGATACCGTTTGCCGTCTTCGCCGATTTGGAGCAATATGAACCCGACTGCTACCGATGATGTATCCACTGCAAGGATGACTTCTCGCCCGCATTCGTAATCGATCTGTCGCAATGCGGGGGACTCTAATACCAAGTCCTTCAGGGTCTGCATAGCTGTTTGTTGATCCGGTCCGAATTCGAATGACGCGTCTTTCTTGGTCAGATTGATGAGTGGCCGTGCGATCTTGGAGAAATTCCGGATAAAGATGCGTAGTACACCGCATGTACCCAGAAATCCTCTGACTTGTGAAACGTTACGTGGTTCCGGCCAATCACGGATTTTCTGGATCTTGGAATCTTCCGGAACGCGACCTTCGAAG